CTAGTGTGACTACAGGGACAAAGAGAGGAGATGTGGGGGCAGCAGGACCTGGACCACACCCAGAACGAGCAACGAAACACTGTCAAAGAGAGGAAACAGAACACTGAGACGCACACATCCATGCATTACAATATGGTTATGTGTCTTAAATCTAACTTTGTCAGCTAAGAATGCATTTCCGGTGGTTTATAGGTGTGTGAATACATGTGGACTTCATATGAAAAACCAGATGCTTCCTCTGAGCTGTTCTACATGAAGCAGATGCAGTTCTATGGAGAACCGGGCCCTGGACCACAGGTTCTGCTCTCAGTACACGCTAACTGCAGCCGGACTTTCTCTGACATCACAAAAGAGTCTGCTGGAAACCATCCAGAAGTTTCTACTGGAAACGTCTCCTCTCCCTTAATGTGTCAAAGAAATGTAGGGTATGTGAAACTAACTGATAAGAGAGCTTAAAGAAAGCTGCTGATGTGAGAATGAGTTCTGTCTGGTATTCCACCGGCTCTGACCGGTCCCACACAGCAGTCCAGATGGATCCCAACACATCTAGCTCAGGCTTTTCCAGTCTCATTAGAATACATTTACATGCCCCACTAGCTAAACACACCCATTTCTGCCTTTAGTTAGATCCAGTCAAAAGTGTCAGCTTTGCATCCTCTTTCCCATTTTACAGATATTAAACCGCGAGTTTACTAACTCTGCCTAAGCAACTAGCTTTCTGTGAACTGAATCAGCATGGGATCAGTAGTTCAGATCCAAACATGTAGACCAGTGCCACAGTGTTTTTATGAATCCAGCTCTTTTACATTCTTATTCACTCAGTCTTATCTAATCTTATTGAATTATTTCATCATTTGATTTAGTATTTTTCCATTTGATCAATTGAATTGGATTTTCAAATGATGATAAGCTCAACAAATGCCATCTGCAGGGACTCAAATGATCCAGTCCATTTCATTAAGTTACTTCAAACCCAAAAAGGCAGACTGATCCATTTCCCTTCCTGAGCATTTGTCCTCCTGCTGCTCCCTCCATCTTAATTCCATACATTCGAGGGGCTACATTTTAAAAAGAACTCTTGTGCAAAATCGATTAACAACAGACTAAAACTAAACTTTATCTAATTTTCTGAACCCACTTTATTCTCTGTAGAGGTTCAGTTGAACCTTAAACAGAGAAAACAATGTTTGGAGATGTTGAACAGGACCAAACCTTGATTCTGTTCCATCTCAAAGGCTGTGAGATTCTGACCTGGTGCCAGTTGTCCCACTTGGCTATTTTAGGATTTTCTGAAATGATCAACACAGTATCTGATGCTTCAAATCTGCTGAGGGAACCAGGGATGGAGAAGAGAGTCATCAGAAGGTGCTTTTATTGAACTTTTGTCACATGCAGGTTTATTTCGGGTGACATTGGTCCATGCAAACACACATCAGGAACAGGATCTAAGGTTTTATTTCAACTGCTCAGTTCTGAGATCTTGAACTGATGCCCATTTTTGTGTCGTTTGCTCAAAGTAGAAGTGTATAGATGGTTATGCTCCATTGAAGCAATTCGGGGCTTGAGTGGTCTGCTGACTGTGGACTTTACTCATCAATTTATACTTTTGTTTTTATTGTTATTTGATACTTTTTTATACATTTTGTACTTTTGCATTTCTAATTTTTACAGAGAACTGTCATTTTAAAACTGTAATCATATTTCAGTGTGCTTCAGTGAATATTCTTCCCTCAGTCAAATCTCACATGCATGATACCTGAGAGGATTATTCAGGAATATTTTGAAAACTTAATTTTGTAGATTATTTTACATTTCAGGGTTGAAGTCACTTCAACCATTAAAACGTCACTTTCGGTAATTATCAGCACTAAAATCTTGAGGCCTTTGCAGAAAAGTTTCACCCTAAGATGAAGTTCACCTCTGCAAAGGCTCTAAATGATGTCAAAACATAAAGCCACTTGGTCCTTGGTAATGCAGATTTCTATTTATTCTCATAGCAACAACCCTTTAAGCTCTGTCTTTATTCCATCGCCAAGAGGAGAGCAAGGAGATGAAGTGGAGGGTAGAGGAGGAAGTAGGACCCAGACAGAAAAACCCAATGCAAGGCTGATGCACTCAGACAAATGTTCCTCGCCATCCATCTTTGTTAGAGGTGAGGCTGGTAGAATTCCAGTAGAGGGAGCCAGAGCACACTTGGCTCAGCTCTCACCACACTGAAGGGTGCTGAGAGGAGAGGAGAGGAGGAGATGACGCCAGCAGAGAGAGGCTGCAGAGATGCTAACAGTACACATTCTGAAAGGAGCTAAGTGCTAGCTGCTGCTACAGACACACACCGGCACCCGGACAGGTAGGCAGCACCTACACACATCCGGCTGGTGAAGCTGGTTTCTGACAGAATGCTGAGGACAGCAGGCCAACACACACACACAAAGCCTTCTTTCTATTGGACGGTAAGTGGTCCAGCTGTGTGTGTGTGTGTGTGATCAGGCCTAGCAGCAGGGTGATGGGATGATGACAGCTGCGGTCTCCATGGAGACACTGTGTGTTTAGGTGTGTTCACTGCAGAGCTGCGTGTGCGTTTGTGTGGTCAGCTGCAGATGTAGCCAGAATTCGGTTTGGCACTGAGGGGGCGGAGCCCACAGCTGGCGGTGATGTCAAAGCGAGGAGCCGGGGGCAGGGGGAAGGGAGAGCGACCAGACGCCATGGCAACCCTTCAAGCAGCCAATGAGGAGCTGAGGGCCAAACTAACAGACATTCAGATTGAACTCCAACAGGAGAAGAACAAGGTAAGAGCAGAGGCCAGAGCAGGAGAACGAGGAGGATGCCTCACTGCTGTGGTTCTGTTACCAGCAGGATCTGTTTCCCAGGTGAGCCGGCTGGAGAGGGAGAAGAGTCAGGAGCTAAAGGCCGAGCATCACCGAGCAACACTCGCTCTCACCGAGCTGAAGACCAAACTCCACGAAGAGAAGCAGAAGGAGCTATCCGTTACCAGGGAAACACTGCTACGACAACACGAGATGGAGCTCATGAGGGTCATTAAGATCAAAGATGGAGAAATCCAGCGCCTAAACGGGCTGGTCGTGACACTGAGGGACGGGTCCACTGACAAGGTTCTTAATCATCAATCCACTGATCTGATTATCCACCAATTCATGTGTTCATCCTTAGAGCGTTCCGTTGATCTGCCATCTATGCTTATGTTCATCCATCCACTCACTGATGTGTCTACCCTCTGCTCATCCGGGCCCTGCTGTTCTGCTGGTTGTGCAGGTGAGGAGTGCCCTGCTGGCGGAGGTGGAGGAGGCCAGGAGGAGCTGGGAGGCAGAACGCTGTCGCCTCCAGCAGGAGGTTCAGGAGCTTCGAGGAACCAAGAGGAGCACAGAGGAAGCTCTGGTCTCAGCCCAGCAGGCCTGCCAGGCCCGAGCAGCCGAACTGCGCTCCGCTCATCACCAGCACCAGGAGGAACTGAATCGGACAAAGAGGGAATGTGAGAGGGAAATCCGCCGACTGGTAGGAGCTGCCCTTACACAACAGCCAACAATCACGACCTGTAACAAACCTATTCACGGCAACCACTTCTAAACACCAAAAAACATGAACAACAAGAAATAAAACCAGTAACAACAATCAGAAACAAACACAGAAGCTATAGAACTTCCACCCGTCCCTTTTCCCCACCGGGCCTCTCCCAGCTGAAAACGGGCCCGAGGCGGGTACATTACACAGAGACACACAACCATTCAAATCCACATGTGGAGAATCCAGTTAACCTGATGTGCAGGTTTTTGGACGGTGGGAGGAAGTCAGAGAGCCCACGCAGACACAGGGAGAACACGCTAACTCCACCCCGGAACCCTGTGTCTGTGAGATGACCGTTCTGCAAGAAAAGTTCAAGCAAACACAATCATGTCCCAAAAATAACGTTCATCTGTCAGAAAAGAACAGCTATAACTCTTCAGTAGTGAGTGTCATCTTCATTACCTATGAATCAGTAAATCCCTCTTGTGGCTTAGTTTTTTTAGTCATACATTGAACTGGACCAAGTTGTCCAAATGGTGGGATGACAAGTGGTTGCTGCAAAATAATCAGTCTTTACTAAACGTGGCTGGAACATTCCCATAAGATAGGATTTATCCACTGGGCTGTGATATGATGAAAGATGCTCCTTAGTACTGCTGACATCATGTTGAACAGATGCTTCTCCATCCACCCAGTGAAGGGAGTGTGGGCGCAACTTAATGTAGACTGTCAGGCCAGAGGGATGTACAGAACTACCAGAGCTGTGCTTTACACCCTTGTATCTGCTCCTGGGAACAGGAAATAGAAACTCTGCAGAATATGGGAGCTGTGATAAGCTGTGAGGAGCACCAGGGCTGTGATGTCAGTGCTTTAATAACATGATGCAGGACAGAAGTTGACCCTGATCTGACAACAAACTGCCGGAAAGTTCTGACATCACGGAGAAACAAAGGGAGCAGCCTAGTGAGAAACACAGAGCGGTACCACTCAGTGGGTCTGAACAGGGAGAGACTGTGAGAGGCAAACACACACCAGCATGCTCTCTCTGTCAGAGACACAAGAACAGCTAAGTAGTCTCTGTTCTGACCAATGAATCCCTTCAGCCTTAACTGACAGGAAAAATAAATACATTTCACACCCAAATCTGATCACAGTTATTGTCTTGTAGTCTTGTAGTTATTGTGGTTTAACCCTAACCCTAGTTCAATGCTACCTGCCTGTTTATTGATACCTTAATGTCTATGTTTTTGCCCAGGTTGGGAGCTGAGGGGGGTTAGGATGCTCAGGGTCATGGTCTTTGGGCTGTTAGGGGCTGAGGGCTGTTAGGGGCTGAGGGGGTTTAGGGGCTGAGGGGGGTTAGGGGCTGAGGGTGGTTAGGGGTTAGGGTTAGGGTTAGGGGCTGAGGGCTGTTAGGGGCTGACGTGTTCTGATTAGTTTGCTGATAAATCAGGTTTATGATCAGCATAGATACTGATTGAGGGCTACAGAGGGGGCTCAAGGCTCAAGCCTTCAGAGAAGCAAATGAACCAGAGGTCACCCCCTAACCATAACCCTAACCCTAACCCTAACCCTAACCCATTCCACCCGGCTGATGCACAGAGCTGAACTGTAGAGCATTGTGTGGTTTGTTAGCCTTAAAGAGCGTGAGGCACATTTTTGCAGCTGGCAGGTAGAGCACGCGCCTAAAGGAGATGCTGAGAATAAAATTATTTCCCAACAGGAACATCTGGAGGGGCAACAGACACCCTCACACCCAGCCAACAGGAACATTTCCTTACGGTCAAGAACCAGGTCCAACCATTTCCAAACATCTCACACTGTTCCGACCCCGCCTCCCACTGTCAGTCCGGCTGAGCCCGACTCTAACCAGCTCACAAGCCTTGACCATGTCTAACCTGTCTGGCTATCTCTAACATATCTGTTTTAACTTGTGAGTCTGTTTCTAACCCGTCTGGCTGTTTCTGACTCGCCTGATTCCTACCTATCTTTTTCTAACCTATTTCCTTCCTCTCTATCAGCTTGTAACCCGTCTGTTTCCTAACTGTCTGCCTGTTTCTACTCTTTACTTTTCTAACCCCTCTGTTTCTAACTTGACAATTTCCAACCCGTCTGTTTCCTACCTGTTTCTAACTATTGTGTTTCGGATCCATCTGGCTGTGTCTAACCTGTCTCCCTCCATGTGTGTGTGCAGATGGATGAGATAAAGCTGAAGGACAGGGCTGTCAGTGTTCTGGATAAGGCCCTGGGGCTGCAGGCTGGACACGCCCACCGCCTCCAGCTGCAGACTCAGGCTGCTGAGCAGCAAATAGCAGCCCTGAGAGATGCACAGCGAGTGGGACTAACCCATTCCACTCCTAACCCCACCCCTAACAATGCTCCGCACATTGTAAGCCCCTTCTTTTCCTGCTTCTTTAACATGCTTAAAAATGACAATTACCTCTTATTTATTTCATTGAGATGTTTGTTGGACATCGGGTCTGGTTTGCTTGAAGTTACCTAAGAGTACATGCTATAGAAACTCCACCTTCACTGGGAGGAAAGTTTGGCTCACTCACTGAGATATAAGACCACAAAGATCAAGCAGATTTCAGCTGCTCTAATTACTCTCTTGAAAAATATTTATTTCTGGCGGGAAGCCTTTGCATAACAAAAAAATGAACACTGTGTATAGCAGAGCCTCAGAATGCTAATGCACATCTTTCCATCCAGCTGTGTCACCTGCTCAGGAGTTTTTTCTGATAGCTTCCCCAGGCTCCTATGAGCACCCAACCAAGTCAAATGGGTGGCTGTGTTCTCGTTTGCCACGACCAGCCGCGCATTTGCTAGAATCTGTTTATCACTGGCTGGATAAATCTACAAGAATGTGCTAATTTATGGTTCCTATTGTAAAACCAGATCTAATTGCCTGTCCATAGGTTCTGGAACAGTTGAAATCATACTAAAAAGACTGTGGATAACCACAAAATAGTTACCACTTGTGCAGAAGTAAATTTTACTTCCCTTATTCTCCACTATTGATTAAAGTCATAGATCAGATGTAATATGAAGTTAAGAACCCTTTCATGAAGGGTTGCAACAGCTTGTCATCCCACTCCCTTTGGGCTTCGCCCCCGTTGGACTTACCGAGACATTTTTAGATATGTGAATCTTCCAAAGCCTCAAACTGCCACACAGAAGCATCCAGTGCTCTTCTTCACTGTTCTGTGGAAAGTCAGGCCTTCCTGTGGTTCCTGTGGCATGTGGGACTCAATTCTCCGGTTATATGTTTGATGGAATCCGTTCATCTTGTGTGCAGTCTCAGGAGGAGCGAGATACTCGCAGGTTTCAGCTAAAGATTGCTGAGCTCAGCGCTGTGGTCAGAAAGCTTGAGGATCGAAATTCACTGCTATCTGAAGAACGCAATGAACTGGTACGCACAACACCATAACACTCTTCACACAACAGAAACCTGAAACCACCAGAGCAGCTGCCTTCAGTGGTCAGCAGAGATGCACAGTAACAAACTAAAACTACTTAAGTACTGTCCTTAAGTGCCAAAATGCAGTATCTGTACTTTATTGGAGTAGATTTTTTTCCCCTAATTTTACTTTTACTCCACTATATATTTTTGATCAATTTAATACTCCGGTCGACTTTTCAAGGGCTGAATCGTTACTCGTTACTGAAATGTAAACTTAATGATAGATAACTCTGTCAGGGTTTGGGAAGCTGGCTCCTCATTGGCGATTTGAACGATTATAGCCTATAAAAAAAGCCTCACGAAAGATTGTTAATTATAGCCTTGAAAAATTCCCCATCTAATCTGAAGAAGCAATCAAGGTAAGTTAAAAAATACAATGACATATAAGCTAGTAAATAAGCGCTAGTTCAGTTCTCCCTGTTCACTCAAGACGTAGCAGCTAACATTAGCTAAAGCTAACCTAGCTGGCTAGCTGTATGCTACATGCTAGCATAAAGGCTCAGCTCAGGATTCTGACTCTGGAATAATAAATAATAGCAGATGAAGTGCTGTTGATTGCTAATGCAGATGTAGTTTTCTGTTTTTGTAAACACCTGTATGGCCTTTCACACGTTTGAAATAATATAAACAATATCTATCAAACTTTTGAGTGCCTTTTTTTAATATACAAAGTACTTGTACTTTTACTAATATTTGTACTTCCGATACTTGAGTAGCAAATTTTGAAATACTTCTAAAAAAATATGGAGTACTTCTGTACTTCCACTTAAGTCTGGTGTTGAAAGAACACTTCAACTTTTACTCAAGCCAATTTTTTTATATAGTACTTGTACTAGAAGTACTTTTACTTGTACTCCAGTACTTTATACATCTCTGGTGGTCAGTGAATGTTAAAAACGAAAGGCTAGCATGTTCAAAGACGTCCTGGAGGGCCGCTGTCGTAAAGGTTTAGAAGTTTCCCTGATTCGCTTACCCTTGTGCCCTCCTTGGGTCAGTCATAGCCTGGATTCAGTGAAACCGGGACCGCAGGATGGCGCACAATAAACTAAAACTGAAACAAAGACAAGACTAAAGCAGCTCCATGATGGTACATCACAAAGTGGCACCGTGTCTTTCCAGCCCTGTAAACCAAACATCATTATTCCCAGTTGCTTCAGATTCTGTTGCTTCTGGAACTGCTCCGTTCCCCACAACATATCGACAAATTCTACCAAAAACCATTCCAGTAGGACTTAGGCAGTCCTATAATTAATTCCTTGTGGTTTCTTACCGTATGAGCCTTTTACTTTGATCTTTGCTCCATAATTACTCCAACCACCAGAGGACACTGTGACATTTCTACATTCATCTTACCCCTTTTCTTACCGTATGTTTCCTGCAGTTACTGCGTTTTCTCCAAACATTAACGTGAAAACGTCTGTACTTTCTGCAGTTGAAGCGTCTCAGAGAGACAGAGAGTCAGTTTCTTCCCCTACTGGACAAGAACAAACGTCTCAGTAGGAAAAACGAGGAGTTGGCTCTCGCACTGCGTCGCCTCGATAACAAACTTCGTTTTGTTACCCAGGAGAACATGGAGATGGTAACTATGGTAACCCCTGACTCAAACAAGACAGAATCGCATGATGATGCTCTTCCACACAAACCAGTTTTAATTGGGTAAATCAAACAGTTTTCCAACTGCAGCCCAACCAGATCTCACTGACAGCTCTTTACACAGAAGCAGAACACGTCTGCTGTTCCGGTCAACCCAGAATTATCTCTGCTTTTATATATTTATTAACTACTAAAATAAAGTGAAAGAGTGTATTCACCTAATTTGCAGTATTCTATATGGTCTGTTACATTAGAAATCAGGTCATAGTGGGTTGAAATATCAGGTTGTAGTGCATAGAAAGGGGGGAAAGTCCGTGGCTATTTACTGCTTTTGTTAATCTCTGTAATGTGGCATAAAATTATACCGATTACCAGCTCACAGGCCGTTTCCAATAGTGTACACATTTCATTGGCGTGAACAAAGTGTCCTGTCTTTATTTCTCAGAGGTTTAAATCAACTAAATCCATTTAATTTTCCATAAATAGTCAGCCCAAAAAAATGATTGACTTTGTATGATGACAATTTATCCACAACAATTCTAAACTACTCACAGACAGGAAAAAAAAACAACAAAACCCTCCAACTGATGTTACAGTGTTAACAACAGATATTGTGTGGTCAACAGAGGCGGCCAAGTTCACTAAACGACCTGGACCGCAGTCACTCCACCAGTTACCATGGTTACAGCCAGGATGAGAGGGAGATGGAGTTTCTACGGTTACAAGTGGTGGAGCAGCAACACATCATTGATGACCTGACCAAGGTAGTTCTCCTATTGATACTACTAGTATTGTCATCATTACTATTACCAATGGAAATCCAGCAGAGCTTTTATTCGAAGTTGGACATTTGTTTCAACAAAATTTTACACAAATTACTTTTACTTTTCAGCAAGGAGTGAAAACAGGAATTATGCTAGTAGAGGCAAACTCCAAACTATTTTGTTTTCTTTAAACTGAACTTATTTCTACATGTAACTCATAAACTAATAAAATAAAACTAGTTGACATTTTGGGACCAAATTAACTAACATTTAGACCTTTATTAGTTTGCTGGTTACGCACAGAAAATACCATAATAGTATAACTTAAGGACATTCTGCATCCTAATTTTTGTATTCTAACAATTAACTAGTAAGCAGTTAGAGCAAAAATGGAAAGAGTTTTGCTTTGACTAAAGTTGGCAGCTGCAGCAGTAACAGTTCTTCAGGAAATCGTGTCTGAAGCATGCAGATAGTTACTACTGCAGCTAACTGCTAGGAATGCTGCTTCTAAATTTCATTGTAACGGGAATTTAGGTTGGAAACAGATTAGCTTTAGTTTATTCACTTCAGTTTGATTATTTAAAGCTCTGTCTTTTTAGGCTCTGGAAACAGCAGGTTACGTGAAGAACGTTATTGTAAGTATTACATTGCTCAAATTCCAGTGCCACCACATCATTTAGTGCTAACTATAAAACAAGAATAAAGTGTCTAATCAAACCACTTCTCCACATTTTTTGAGACTCAGTCCAAGAAATTGAATGAACGTGACTGTCAGATAAACATTTCCTTCTCATCAGTTAGAGAGCAAACAAAGAGCTCAAATTGTGTGAAAGATGAGTGTCGACAGAGGGGCTGTTTTTGTTCATTTTCAGGAGAGAGACATGTTACTGAGATACAGACGTCAGGAGACTGTGAGACGGAAGAGGACCTTCAGAGCCTGCAGGGTGAGAATATTACGGCATGAACATGTTTCTTCTCCAAGCCTCTGTTACAATCTGAACTACGTTAAATGCAGCGTTAAGAACCTTCCAGGTGGTCCGCTTTACCCGAAACACCACCTGCTGCTGAGACCATTAACAGACTACCACCACAGCCAGTATCTATCTCAGCCTGTCTACTTAACCACCCTGTATTTTTCCGAAGGTCATAGAGACATTTTATGGTTATGATGAAGAGGCCTCGGTGGATTCTGATGGATCATCTTTATCTTTTCACACTGACAGAACTCCAGATACTGAACCAGAGGAGGTAAGAGCACACAAGGAGCAAACAGCCTTTAATATCATAAACTGTGGATCATCTTATTCATTGGATAATCTAAATCTCCTTGATATTCACACAAATAGAATCTTAACTCCCTCCAGGCCTTTCAGTCCATCTCACAGAATGAGAGAAAATCAAGAACTGACGGACAAATTAAAGAAAAGCTCCGCAAAGCCGGTTCTACAGGTCAGACTAGTTTCTGAAACGGGATGTGTGTGTTTTAGGTGTGTGTTCGTGAGGATGCAGAGCTCCGGTACCGGCAGCTAACGCAGGAGTACCAGGCCCTGCAGCGGGCCTACGCCCTGCTGGCAGAGACCAGCGGGGGGACCTACGATGCAGAGAAGGAGATCAAGGTGAGCAGGACTGTTGGCCAGCCCGCTGAGGGCTGTCCAGGGAGTGTAGCACCAACAGGCTGATGGGTCTGTTTGGTGTGTTTCAGACCAGAGAGCAGCTGCTGGGTGAAATCAGCCGGTACCAAAGCAGAGCGGCAGATCTGGAGTCAGCCCTCACACAACAGGGCCTGGTAACACACTCTAACAATCATCACTGACATAATGACTGTGGTAGAGGGGACACGAGTCAATGATGACATCTGATTGGTCCTTAGCCCAGGTGAGAACATTATCTGCATTCTGATTGGTTCCAGGGTAGACTACTGGAGAAAAGGAGGTTATCCTCATGCTCAACAAAGGACCAATGGTAGCTATGCTGAGGTAGAACAAACTGTAAAAAAATAGAACAGGATGACCGGTCATGTTCTAGTTAAAGCTGTTCGAATACGTCCGGTAAAAAGTGAGCACACTGTTCTTCATCCCTCTTTCCATCTATTCATCCCTCCATGCATCTGGGCTGCTCATCCATCTGTCAATCATCCATCCAACTCACCAGCTTTGAGAACCAGATCCAGAGATACTGAAACTCTTCCACATGAGGCATAAATTCATCCCTGAACTGGAGGGAGCACTCTGGGTCCAAGTGAGAACCAAGTGGAACTGGGGGAGCTGGTTCATCCCAGCTGCTTCACGCTCAGCCGTGAACCAACTGTAGGTCACGGAAAAGTCAAAAGAGCCTCATCCGAAACCTGAGGGATGTATTTTAGTTCAATCAATCAGCTCTCCTTTCAAACACTATTATGTTCTTCTGCTTCATCGACAACATTCTGAGCTGGTTTTACAGAATGAACTGAAGACTGCTGAAGGCCTGAGACCATCATGTGACACGAACATTATGGAATATCACAGACGGCACAGCTGTGCTCAGGCCTGACGATGGGAGGACGGATCCATGAGGCCAGCCAGGGGTTCAGAGATCGCCTCGGTAGAGGCCCCTACAGGATGAATTCCTCATGTACTTTCATCAGACCACTTCATTTCATGATCTTAGAACCTCTAAAACAAAACGGCAAAAGAGTACTCACCAGAAAATGTTTTATCCTGACCTGGATTCTGCAATCAGCACCTGCAACCCTGCGTTTACACAATGACCGCGTGCACATGCCGATGTTCCTGTGGTTGAGAGCACCACCCCCTCAGTGTGAAGCTGCACTTGTTCAGGAGGCCTGTGACTTAAACCACTCAAACTGGTGGCTGTCAGAGAAGCATAACTGAATGTGTCTGTTTGGAAGATACAGTTTTGAACTCAGAACAGGTGAGAATAGTAGCCATGTTTAAACTGCTGACTGCTGTTTGTGTTTTCTGGGGTCAGGATACAAAATGGGTAGAGGAGAAGCAGGCGCTGTATCAGAGGAACCAGGAGCTGGTGGATAAGGTGAGTTGACTGGTGGTGTGATGTTTTTCGAAAGCAAACTGAACCTTAACGTCTACAGTGACTTCATAAAAAAAAACATTAACTACAGGTACTCTTTTTGGTCAATCTTTCATTAGGGTAGAGACTTCAATGCATACATTGAATATAGAAAAAATCATCCATTCATTAACACCCTCAGCTCTTCCCTGATTTCTGGCACTCCAGTAACATTAAAGCACTGTATGGGGTGGTAATGCGCCTGGAAATTGTGTGCCAGCAGGGAATCAGATGCACAGAATGCATCGATACCGGGAGGATCAGTAAGAGTGATGTAAGATCAGACTTATGGCAAGTTTAATCAAATAGTACCACTATTTGATTAAGCCCTTCCACAAAACAAAGAGGAGACGCTCATCCTGTGCACCAACACATGCTCAATACGCCCAAGACCTCACTCTGAGCAAACAGCCTCTTTCTGCCAGAAATGTAACTTTATGCTAAGATCTTTGCACATTGAACTAAACTTGCTTATAACACCAACATTTACTCATGGTTACTATTTTTGAGTAACATCTTTACAGGTTTAACTTTCCAGCTGCATGTTAAGAGGATTTCAAGAGACTTTTGGCATACAGTTAGAAAATACTACACCCATCCACCAAAGGAACTCAAAACCATCACCAGGCCAGTGGGCATTCCTAAAAACAAATTGTACTGTGTTACAGTTAAATTAATTTAGGAAAAACTTTCTGTCCAAGTCTGCCTTTTACCTCCTGAAATGTGCTCACTACAAAGGACACTGATGGATGTCAGTAACCATCCGGCTAAGCTTAGCGCAGGGTGACCAGTTTACAGCTGGAAAATGGAACTGGTCCTCCACCACTGAATCTACACTAGCCAGAGTTGCTGTGGATGTACCCCTGAGAACGCAGGGAGCTTTACCAGAGACATCAAAACAAACAGTGGTGGGATGAAACTGAAGAGTTCTGTTGGATTTGTACTGACTGCTGTGAAATCCCTGAAGGGGGGAAATTGCTTAGGAATAATAGTCTAACTTTTCTGTGATGCTACTCTGGCTGCTTCTGCCATTTTGAAGGTGCTGCAGATGGAAGGTGAAGAACTGCGACTGAAAAATGACATCCAAGATGCCAGAGACCAGAATGAGCTGCTAGAGTTCAGGATCTTAGAGTTGGAGGTAAATTCTGATACTCTGAGAAGCAAAAGGACCAACAGTTGAAACAGAATGCACACACTGTCTCCATTTCCCCGGAAACAGGAGAGGGAGCGCCGCTCACCTGCAATCACCTTCCAACAGCTCCACTTCCCAGAAGGTCTGAGTCCCCTTCAGATTTACTGTGAGGCAGAGGGAGTCACAGTAAGTTCCACATGGACACACCTGCAGACACACCTGAGCTGTTGCACCTGGACTGAGCTGTGTGACTTTACCACCAACAGGACATAGTAATCAGTGAGTTGATGAAGAAGTTGGATATTCTGGGAGATAACGCCGTAAGTGTATGTTGAATTTATTATGTATAAGTCTAAAACAAGTGATCATTACCTATCTACATGAACAGGGCTGCTTTTTGCTCTCTCTGATGAGCATTTGAATTATATCTGAGCACATTTTCGGTGGTAATCCTCAGTGCTGCGATAGAAGGCCACTGGACCTGTCCAGTCTCTGGTTGTTGAGGATCTTTCATGTCATAGGTCCATATGCCTATGAAAAGTTTTAGGTTTTTTAACCAGCAAGGACATTAGGAGAGTTAAGTAAGGTCACATTGGCTCTCACTTGGCCGTTCTATGGGTTGTTTATTAAGTTATCACCTGTGAGTAGTTTCCTAACATGCTCATTAGCCAAGGGCCCAACAGGGAGTCAAGGCTGCATGGTAAGGACTTTTTAGACAATACTTGGAACTACCAAGTTTCTTTCACATCCTGTCCTGTAAACTCCAACAAAGCTTCCACTTCATTTGATTCTGTCGTGGCCCACAAGTTTTCCATTTATCCTTCTGAGATGGTGGAGGACCAGCAGGATACGCCTACAGCTTGCTATGTTCATGCTCCTGATAAAGGATGTCAAACAAATCCCTGAGCCTAGAAAAGAAATTACTTTTATGCCAGACACAAGGATAATGTAAAATTTGCATGCTGTCATTGTGTTGGATGTGTGTAGTTGTCAAAAGTTTGACATTTCAATTGCCTGTAGAATCTGTCCAATGAGGAGCAGGTGGTGGTGATCCATGCCAGGACGGTTCTCACTCTAGCAGAAAAGGTGAGGCTCATACCAGCAGCCAAACTTATTTGTTTTCCTTCCAAGAATCATTCTCTTATCATGTAGGAGTCTGGGTTGCCTTACAACCCTGACGGTCTCCGTAAAGGAATCCGACTAAGAGCAATTCAGAGACCTCAATTAAAATAAGGCAATCATCAAGGGCCGCAGCCGTAGCCTAATGGCTAGAGCGGGCAGCCCATATTAGAGCCTCCGCTCGCAAGCGGGCGGCCTGGGTTCGATTCCAGCCCACGGCCCCTTCCCGCAGGTCTCCCCCTCTCTATCTCTGCCCCCTTTTCTGCCAAGCTGCTGTCATTAAAGGCCACTAGAGCCAAAAAAATCTTTAAAAAAAAAAAAAAAAAAAGGCAATCATGTGAATATTCCTCACCCTGAAAAAGGGTTACGGTCTCATGTTGGCCGGGGTTACAGCATCATTTACAACTGATCTTGATGTTTCTCCTGGGGTTTGAGACATCAGAGTCAGTTGTAATATGAGCTGAGGGGTAGACAAGGGAGAGAGTGCCGATCCCCAGTGTCACAAAATGGTGAGAAGACTGCTCTTATCTCACCTTTCTGGACTAGATGAACGCTCAACCCAATTTCACCCTTTTACTCTCATACAGCACATCACCATGTAGTCCAGGTAAGTCAGAAGTCTAACCACAAAACATCTGGCTGGTAGATCGGTCGTCCTCCTGAGCTAAAGTTACAAAATCAGCTCACTAGCAGGGAGGAAGTCTGAGTTGGATTGAGATCTAACAGAGCGCATCACTAGTTGGAGGGAGCTAAAAGCCACATTCCTGGGGAGTGCTAGACTCTCTGTGGGATACTTTGGACTGTCCCCTCCATGAATGAGATGATCTGACAGCCAGATGTGGGTCTGCCTGAAGGGATATAATGGTAGGGGATGGGAGGGCCTCTAGTTTGGGTACCTCAGGGTCCTGATGTGGTTCTGTTGATTTCTTCATGATTTCCAGACAACCAGCAGGACACAACATGTTACTGTCTTTTTTTGTTCAGTGGCTGGAGTCCATCGAAGTGACAAAGTCGGCTCTGCAGCAGAAGATGCTGGACATTGAAAACGAGAAGGTAAAACAAATTGGGTGCTGAGTGGAACTCATCCCGTCTGTTCATATGACCTCTCTATCTGCTGATGTTTTATACCCCAATAGCCATCTGACACAAACATTCCTCTATAGTTGTGTCACCGCCCTCTGAAATTAAAGGATATATTCAATATTTGTGTATTCACTTAATCTACACTAATACCATGAAGCAGACTTGAACTGCCCTCACCTGGTTGAAATAAAGGGCCTCGACCTTCAATTTGTTGTCTGAACTCTTTGTGCTGTTTTTAGGCCCTGTTCAGTAAACAGAAGGGTTACTTGGATGAGGAGCTTGACTACAGGAAGCAGTCAATGGATCAGGCACATAAGGTCAGTGTGATCTGGGCGTTCCAACAGGTTCAAGAAAACTCCCAGAGGTGACCAAAAACACACATCTGATCAACCAACACATGCCAAGCTGTGCAAATGTCCTCCTCAGAAGGAGAGACACACTCCGAAAAATCCGGCTCCTCATTGACTTTGTTCAGGTGACCAAACGGAAACAATTGCCTACTAATTTTTTATATTAAATATCTTCATTTGATTCAGAGGATCTTGGAGCTGGAGGCCATGCTGTTTGAAGCTCTGCAGCAGGAGGAGGAATCAAGGATTATGGGGTTAAAGATGGAGGAGAGTCGATTGTCAGAGACTCTAACAGAGAGGGATAAGGAGGAGCTGAGGAGAGCCATGGACCAATGGAAGCGAACTGTGATGTGTGAGCTGAGAGAAAGAGATTCCCAGATCCTTCGCGAGAGGATGGAGCTGCTGCAGCTCACACAGCAGGTGAAGTTAGCCACAAGCTAGCTTTGCTCTGCTTTCATGGTGTTTGTCACCCCAGAGCTGCAGTCTCCAACATAAAACCGCCCTCAGAATCCAAAAGCTGAACTCAGAACCTCATTGACTAACTTATTAAACCACATCTTCATGATAGATTTTAAAAATCTAGTTTGCAAGAAATCAAATCAAATCTTTCATTTAGAAACTAGTTAAAAACCTTAATGTCCAACTTAATGAACCACTCCAACCCCAGCCTCCTTTTATTGGTTTGTTTGACAGAGGAACAAGGAGCTGGAAGAGTGTATAGAAGCACAGAAACGGCAGATCAAAGAGCTGGAAGAGAAGGTAAGAAACAGAAGAAACCAAAGAAATCTTCGTCTGGACCAAATCGAAACCACTTCCCCTCATGTTTTGTCAATTCTCCACTCATCTTTCCTCCAGTTTTTGTTCCTGTTTCTCTTCTTCTCGTTGGCCTTCATCCTGTGGTCCTAACAACAGCAGGTGAGTCAGGTAGCTCTACCCGGGACCCCATCAGGCGGGCATGCTCACCTCTGGGTTTTGTCTCAGTGTTTGCAGGCTTCCAGAGTCCAGCAGCCGGCCCCTCAGTGGGTCAGGTCCTGAGTTCAGACCACATCACCGGAGGATTCTGAGGGTTCGGACCCAGCAGCCTAACTGAGGCTCTGCAGCCTCGTGGCTATCAGCCAATCAGGGCGGAGCCGAGCTGTCAGCGAACCGTCACCCCCCCAGGTGCTCTCTGTGCGGCCTCGGGATGAAGAATGGCAGCAGTTCAGTCAACAGGAAGTTCTGACCGAAACCTCGTTGGCTCTGGACCAGCTCAGTTTTTTCTGGGTGCCCCAGTGGGCTCAGATTTCAGAAAAGCAGCATAGAGCTCCGATTGGCTGAATGACAGAAGGTTTTAAACATCAGATTAGAGTTCAAACCCAAAACCTGTGAAGGGATAAAGGGGAGAATCGTGAGTGACGCACAGAATAAAACTAAACGGTATCCTGATCCAAAGAAACAAAACGGTGCTGGAGAGGAGAACCAGACCCGGATGAAACCAGGACAGCCGGGGGCATTAAAGTTCTGATTACAAGCAGCTTTAACTGACTATGGGATGGGAGTTTTCACTGAGCCGTGCTGAGGCGCTGCCAGGGTTTCTTGTTCTGAAGGCTGACGTTAAACAACCAGCTCCAACATCAAACTGGACTCATTTCTCAGGAGGACAGCAAGCACCATCACAAAGGAATCTTATCTGTAAAAACTAAAAGAATAAACAGACCTGGAAATATTGCTCAGACTTAATTGAATCTCATTTGATACTGTTTTGCTTTACACTTTTTATTAATGTTTCAGTACTTTTCTTGCATTTTTCATAGTTTACGTTTTAACATTCATTTACATCATAAATCATTGGCCAAAAAATCTGAGGCTCATCGTTTAAACCGCCCCAGTTTTCACCTCCTCTTAAACACAGATCCAGTGGAAAAAGGAACACAACTACATAAACAAAAGACAAGGGAGTGAGAAACGTTAACTGATTACGGGAGTTTCGGTTTGAGGAACTGGTCAGATGAACGGATCTGTTCCTGGGAGTAACAGGAATAACTCCAACTGACCAGCTCTTCCAGTTCATCAATGAGTTGTGTAATCTTAACCAGAGGTAGTCTGTGAGGACAAGGGGGAGGGTAAGGATATAAGGCCATGAACTTAAAATGATTACCCAAAAATTCCTCACTGTGTGTTCTTCATGAGGGATTTTGTCTCTCAGTACCCTCAAAGCTATTGAGGAGTCCATAATCTGCTTTTAAACAGTGATGGGACTCACTCTAATCTAGGCTGAGACTCCCTCTCTTCTGTAGTAAAGTGCGGTTATGGTGCATGTTCACTGGGCAGTGGAACCATGAAAGAACCAAAAGGGAGGTTAGTTTGGATAAAAGTTAGTCTGGATAAAGGTTAATATTTGATCTAAAGAGCTTGGATCAAGGCTATTTGGCTTAAATTCATTAGCACTGAAGTTTGGATTAAATTGAGTTTTTATTCAATTTACTTGATACAAATGTAAAATACCTCAAAGATAAAACTGTCAGAGAGTGATGTTATGGCCCGCTCTGTGCGTGCACTTTCATGTGAGAGTGACCGGAGTAAAGCTGACAGGCCCAGAAATCCAGTTCAGACGGAGGCGAGTTCCCGTGGCGGGCAGTAATGAGCACTGACCTGGTTCTGTGTTTCTGTGTGTGTGTTTGTCAAGACAGACACACACTCACTTCCAATGTTTGTGGGGTCCTACAGCCTCATGGGGACTAAAAACCCGGGACTCCAGGTGAGGTCACATGACCTCCAGCCCTGAGTGAGCCGCTGATTACATCAGAGGCCGATCCCCAGGGTTAGGGTTAGGGTTAGGGTCTGACGTTAGCTGAAGTTAGTTTGGGTCCTGCTCCTCCCTGACCTACTTCCCTGTCCCTTCTCGTTTAACTCCTGAGCTCTTTAGTCGCCTCCTCCTCCTCCTCCTCCTCCTTCTTCTTCTCCTCCTCTTCTTGTCTGCGCTCAGATCTCCTCCTGCCAGAATGTCTGAGCGGAGGTCCTGTCTGGAGGACGACTGCTGCTCGCTGCTTTCCCGGCTGGGCTCTGACTCCCCGCGCCC